ATTATCTGCAGAGCCACAGCAAGCAGGATGCTCTTCACTCCTGCGGTTGCCATTTCCTGGCCACTGATAGCCTTCTCTACCGTGAGTTTGTCCTCTCCTCTTTTAAAGCCATCCGAGTTGGTGGCCATCACAGCCTTCCACTTTAAGCTGTTGAGGTGGAGGAGAATGGATGGATGGACTCTCCCCGCCGCCCCGTTCTGCAACTCCTATAGGAACCACTTGCGGAGTAAAAGGGGATTGTGTCGCAAAGACACATCCTACTTTTCATCTCGACATATCCTCCCACTTCTGCTTTCTTCTTTGCATTTAGAGAATTCTCCTTGTGTTGGAGGCAGCAGCGGCACAAAAGATTTTTCTTCTCTTTAAGGTAAGTGCAACCTTGATTACTTTTCCTCCTTGATAGAAGCTCTGTGCTTTTTACACTCCTATGGCAGACTATCATCTATCTATCATCTATATCTATCATCTATCTATCATCTATCTATCTATCTATCTATCTATCTATCTATCTATCTATCTATCTATCTATCTATCTATCTATCTATCTATCTATCTATCTATCATCTATCTATCTATCATCTATCATCATCTATCTATCATCATCTATCTCTATCATCTATCTATCTATCTATCTATCTATCTATCTATCTATCTATCTATCTTCTAAATGCTTTCTGTCTTTTGGAATTGGCTTTTTCCTGCCCCTGTTCTTGCAGGTTGGAATTAGGAACACAACAAGCTGCCTTATATTGTATCAGACTGTTATAGTTATAATAATAATAATAATAATAATGTCAGGGGTTCAGGGACAGAGGCACAGGTGAGGGAGGAGACGGAGAGCGAGGGGGAGGAATCCCGAGACAGCAAGGAAGAAGATGACAATGAGTTGAGGGATTCCATGAGCCTTTCAAGTGATTTGGAGGATTCCCAGAGGGGGGCGCCTGTGGTCAGGTCGAGGGGAGTCACAGGGGAGACCCGTCAGGAGCAGGGGACCAGCAGGGGAACCCAGAGTGGGAGCTGGGACTCGGGACCGGCTTCCACGCCAGAGCGCAGTGAAGGGGGTGGAGATTCCACAGTGACAGGAGGAGCAAGTCCGAAAGCAGAGAGGGAGGGGAGATCGGAGCAAGACATCCTCCCGGAAGGGGAGGGGAGTAGTGCAGGGAGTAGTGTAACTGTCAAGAGGAAAGTTAGAGGCTGCGAAACGCGCGCCAAGTTCAAATGTGGAGGCGCGCGGAAGTAGAGGGAGCCCGGGGGAGGAGCCAGGTCCCAAAGCACGCAGGAGGGGGGAAGAGCTGTCTGGGGATTCCGCGTCAGGGGAATCCAGGAGGGGCGAAACCCCAGGGGGCAGGAAGACCCTGCGGAAAAGGAAAGAAAGGAAGAAGTGGAGCAGCACAGCCCTCTTAAACTGGTGCAGAGGAGGGACTGACTCAGAGGGGACTTCAGCGGTCTAAGCGTAACAGACGTGGGGCTGCGCGCCTTGGCTGTGGAGCGAACAATGTACTGCAATAAACATCTTTGTATATAAACTGGACTTGGCGTTGGTCTCTTGTGAGCTGGGACCTGAGGCAGCCCTGACAAATAATAATAATAATAATAATAATAATAATAATAATAATAATAATAGATTATTTATACCCCGCCCCTCTGGCTGGGTTTCCCCAGCCACTCTGGGCAGCTTTCAACAGAATATTAAAATACAATAGTCTATTAAACATTAAAAAGGCTGCCTTCAAATGTCTTCTAAAAGTCTGGTAGTTGTTTTTCTCTTTGACATCTGGTGGGAGGGCGTTCCACACGGTCATATTCGCAGAACTGCTGTTCCCACAGTGGTTTAGCCATCAATCCCTCTTCCCAAGGAACTCTGGGAATAATGGTAGTGGTGGGAGGAGGATGGGGGGGGGGTCTCCTGACACCTCTCGGCATCCTCAGCAGACCACAGTTCCCAGAATTACATGGGCACTTAAAAATTGCTATCCACGTGGAGAAATACTGCCCTGACTGCCAGCTAAAAGGTACTGGGAAGAAAAAACTAATAGGTCTATATGGTGAGTTGTTTGCCCCTGCTTGCATACCCTCCAAGTGTCCTGGTTTTCCAGGGACAGCCCCAGAATTACAGAAGCCATCCTGGTTTCTGATTTGATCCTGGAATGTCCCACTTTTCCTTTTTCCTCCCCTCCTCATCTTGATAAAACTTGGTAGAGAGTTCAGACACGTCCCTCCAGAAAAACCCAAAAACCTCCTGTCCTTTTTTGGGGGGGGAAACAGGAGACTTTGCTGTGTGTGTGCAGGTGGAAAACGGAGTTACGTTTATACTGAAAATAAAATGCATGCACCAAACGAAGGAAGCGGTGAAGGTGGCATACAAACCACTTCTTATAGTTTTGAAGGAAACCGTAGCCAATACGCTTTCAGTTCTTTAATTGCAATGTTTAAAGGAAATGCGTGGAGTATTTGTTCCTTCATTGTAAATGGAGCCTTGCACTATCTATTGAGTAGTAAGTCACACTGTAGTGAATGGAGCTTACTCCCAAGTAACTGGGTAAAGACTTTTCAGCCTTACACTGCAATCCCACTGAGTTCAATAGTATTTACTCTCTGGTAGGTTCTTGATCATTCTCACAATGTCTTCTATTATTATTATTATTATTATTATTATTATTATTATTATTATTATTATTTATCACTCAGCTTTCCCCTCTGACAGGGACTCAAGGCAGCTTGCAGCTAAAATTTTGTTTCATTTCATTTATCTGCGGAAGGCAATACACACGATCCCTTCCACCACACTTTATCTTTTCTCTACAACAATCCCGTGAGGCAGCTTTGGCAGAGATGTTGCCATTGGCTCAAGGTGACAGATGCGTATGACATACATGTAGATGACATGCAGATATGACATACATGTGTATGGCGGGAGAAGCTTACTGATGTAGAATAGAATGCCCCTATTTTCACCTGAGAAATGTTGGTCTTGCCTCAGATCAAGGTAACAGGGTCATGGCTGACAGGAAGTTACCACAGTGTTGCAATTGCTCTTGATCTCCAAAGAGGAAGAGAGAATGTAGAAACTTTTGCTCTGATCTGCTGTTGTGTTGCGTTGTGGTTTTTTTTTTAAATTAGTAATTTTTAATTTTTAATAAATTAAATAAGAATAGTAATTGGGGTGGGTCTGGAGACAAACGTGGGGAGATTGACAAATGTTACCTTTAGTTTTTTCACACACTCAAACCCCACTCTCCATTCTCCACTCTGGAGGAGCAAGGCGTGTGATCAGAGTTCAAGGACAAACTCCATTTGGGCAGAAACGCTAGGAGCTGGCCTGGGGAGAGGGCTGAGGCACAGATGGATAGGTTAAGAGGGTTGACTTTGGGCTCCAAGGCCTGACATTCCCCACCACTGGCATAATCTATGCAATGCTGGATCCTGGTCTTGAAGGGGCTTTGAGGTCTTTTGTCCAGAGTCAGATTAACCATTAAGCAAAATAAGTGCGTGCTTAGGGCAACAAGGAAAGGGGGCCACCACAGAAATTTCAGACCCTCCAAGTGTCCCTATTCTCCACGGATATCCCTGATTTAGAGAAGCCATCCCAGTTTCTGATTTGATCCTGGAATGTCCCGCTTTTCCTTAGAATGTCCCTATTTTCATTGGAGAAATGTTGGAAGGTATGGAGTTATCTGACTCCTGAGCCATCTGAAGGCAGTCCTGTATAAGTTAGGTATTCTTAAAAAAAAAGTTTAATGTTTTATTATGTTTTTATATATGTTGGAAGCTGCCTAGAGTGGCTGGGGCAACCCAGTAAGACGTGTAGGGTATAAATAGTAAAATTATCATTATGGAATGGGATGTCCATATTTTCATCACAGAAATGTTGGAGGGTATGAAAATTTTCATTGCTGGTTTTTCTATGGACCAGCAACTCCATTTTTCAGTTTACAAATTCTGAGAAAAAACCTGTCTCTATTAATTAAAGCGCTAAAGCACAAGATTCATCTGTAAGCTAGTAATTAATCTGTTCATGTTGTGAAATGAAGTGGAAATATACAAAAAACCCCACATTATTTTAGGGTTTGTTTCATTTCGAAAGGTAAATTTTTATTTTACAGTTTATTATTGTTTATATTTTGAATCAGGCACTTATGGAAGCAACAAAATCTTTGAAGTGCTTAGGGTCTCTAAAGGTCTTAATCTGGCCTTGCTCCTGCCCAAGGCACTGCTTCCCTCTCCATCCTGGCCCAGTCTGCACAACTGCCCAGATGGAGATACTGCTCCATTTTCTTGCCCTTATCACTGCTTGCAAGATCAAAGAGGGTTGATAGCAATGAGGAGCAGGAGCTGCAGTGGTGGGGCCCCTGGCCGTGGCTCAACAGTGCCAACCCCTGGCCAACCCTGAATGCGCACAAGCAAGGGAGAATGGAGAAGTTTCTTCCTTCCTCCCTTTCCCATCTGTTTGGCTAAGCAAGTGCATATTTTGGGGGACAGGGGATGGGGACTGAGTAGGTGGTCCAGAGGCTATATCAGTAAATTCCTGGGCATTCTCCACCCCTTGACAGCATGACTTATCGTGCACACTGATGCTCTGTCTCGTTTGCCGGGTCGGCGAGGCAGGACTCTTCCCACTCTGTGGTGAAGCAGGGCAGGTTTTCTTCACATGATCAGGGATATTTTCTCTTTTCTGTCTTGTTACTTCATATGTTCCAGGAGTAAGGCTCCTTAGCAGAGCCTGAGGCAAGGGAGCCCAGGCCAGTACATTGTGCTGCCTGAGGCATGCTGCAAACGTGTGTGTTTGTGTGCATTTCCTTTGGGCTCCTATGAGCCTCTAGTCCAGAGGTCACCAAGATGCTGTCTGTGGGTGCCGCTGTACCTGCCAGTAGCCACTTCTGCTTCCTGCTGGGACTCTGGTCCTTTGACAGTTGCACAGCAGGTAGAAATTCAACGTGAAGCCTGTAGGGGAAAGCTGCCGCCTTCTTCTTCTTCTTCTTCTTCTTCTTCTTCTTCTTCTTCTTCTTCTTCTTCTTCTTCTTCTTTCTTCTTCTAAAAAAACAAACAAAAAAAAACCTATGTCCTGAGCCGTTAAGAGGCAGAGGAACTGTGGCAGAAAACACGGCAGCTGCTGTCATCGTGGACAAATGGCTCCCGGCTCCCCAAAGGTTTCTTAACTGTCCTACTGCTTTTGTTTTTCCTGGGCCAAGAGCGACACAGAGGCAACCTCCCCCCCCCCTGTGTGGGCTAATGAAATGCAGAGCATCTCCTTGGCAGCCTTCACTCTATAATAACAGCTCATTCCCCACCTTCCAGGCACAGGGCTGCAGCAATCAACATTCAGAGGGGAGAGGACAGGCTGAGAGCTGAAGGGTGAGTGTTTGGTCTTGACTTTTTTAAAGGCTGGTGGCATGGGGGAGAAAACCTGAGAATTCTCATTTACTGGTCGCCATCAACATTTATTTGCATTCTGCCTTTCTGCGGTATCCTATGCCAGGATATTTCTGAATAGCACATGCTGGGGACAAGGGGTGTTGTATAGGTCACCTCTGTCCTGCCTGTGGGCCTCCAGAGGCATTTGGTTGGGTTGCTGTGGTGAACAGCATGCTGGACCTTCTCCTACACATCGGACCTCATGTTCTTGCTTTGTTTCAGCCGAGATAGGGAGAAGACGGCAGTAAAGAAGACTCTCAGTCAAGAAGAATGGAGAGCACAACTGCACTGACAAACCTTCCCATTAATAATTCTTACCCAGACCCCTCAGATCTTCACTATGAATATGAATACGACGAGGAAGCATATATGTTTGGGAAAACCTTGCAAAAAAGGTTGAACATTGTCGCTATGATAATTTACAGCCTTGCCTTCCTGTTGGGAGTCATTGGTAATGGGCTGGTTATATTCATTACCGGCTTCCGTATGAAGAGGACAGTCAACACTGTCTGGTTCCTCAACTTGGCCATTGCTGACTTTGCCTTCACTTTCTTCCTTCCCCTGAGCATTGCCTACCTAGCCCTGGACTTTCATTGGCCCTTTGGCCTGGCAATATGCAAGTTGAACTCTACCCTTGCCTTCCTCAACCTCTATGCCAGTGTCTACCTCCTCACAATCATCAGCATCGACCGGTTCGTTTCTGTGTTCTGGCCTGTGTGGGCTCAGAATCATCGGACACCCAGGCTGGCTTCCTTTGTGGCCTTGGGTGTTTGGATCTTGGCACTGGTGCTGTGTTCTCCAAACCTCTATTTCAGGGATACAGTCCAACATCACAATGATCCAAAAAAGACCAACTGCTACACCAAATATGGTAGCCCTCAGCAGCATAATGCAATGGTCGCCAGCCGGTTCATCTTTGGCTTCTTCATCCCCTTCAACATCATCATCGTTTGCTACGGGGCGATTGTTCTGAAGCTGAGGAGGAACCAGCTAACCGAATCAAACAAGCCCTTCAAGGTCATCACAGCAGTGATTGTGGCCTTCTTTGTCTGTTGGCTTCCCTATCATATCTTCTCTTTCATTGAGCTGAAAGCACGAGAAGATGTAGACCTGGTTTTGGTGTTGATCATCGGCGTTCCGCTGACAACCAGCTTGGCTTTCGTCAACAGCTGCCTCAATCCCATCTTGTATGCCTTCATGGGGCATGATTTCAAGGAGAGGCTGAGATACTCACTCTTCTCTGCATTTGAGAGTGCCTTTGCTGAGGACAGCTGCCAGAGCTTGGTGACCAACAAGACCAGATCTTCAGTAGAGTTAGACTCCCAGGGTGTATGAAACCTTCTGCTTCCAAACCCCACCCTCCAGGGCAAGGTTGTGAAATGTGTTCATTCAGAATCTAGTCCTGGTGGAGCTGGGGAAGTTGTAGTCTAAATCATCTGGAAGCAACCAGATCTACAGTATGTGTATACATTCCCCCTCCCCCTTCCAGCAGGAACTCACTGGAACTCAGTTCTGGCACCTCTCAGATGGGCGCCATTGCCATTATAAGAGAACAAGGGAGGCTTTCATGGTGAGTTCCTGCACCTCTTTTTCTAGACAAATAGCAGTGCAACTGCATGTATCATTCTTTTGTGACCTGATATTTCATGCTATGCTATGTGGATTTTTATTCTAGGGTTTTTTAAAAAAATGATATTACTCTCTTTGTAAAAGCTTTATGGACAGCCATTTAACAAAACAAGACTGTCTTAACTCTGCATTGACCTTGTATCCCTGTATCTAAATAAAAGTATTTGCTTTGAAGTTATTGTTGTTGGTTTTGAATTTGCTTTGTATAGTATGTTGCCACCCCGAAAGGCAGATGTCCTTGGGGGTCCTAGTTTTCAAACATTCCCCCTTCAGTGGATCCTTATCAACCCACTCTGGAGCAAATGGGGATATAAAAAAGCAGGGATGGGGAACCTGGGGCCTTCCAGTTGTTGTTGTTGTTTAGTCATTTAGTCGTGTCCAACTCTTCGTGACCCCATGGACTAGAGCACGCCAGGCACTCCTGTCTTCCACTGCCTCCCGCAGTTTGGTCAAACTCATGCTGGTAGCTTCGAGAACACTGTCCAACCATCTTGTCCTCTGTCATCCCCTTCTCTTTGTGCCCTCAGTCTTTCCCAACATCAGGGTCTTTTCCAGGGAGACTTCTCTTCTCACGAGATGGCCAAAGTATTGGAGCCTCAGCTTCAGGATCTGTCATTCCAGTGAGCACCTTCCAGATGTTACTGAGCTACAATGCCCATCATCCTTGACCAGTGGCTTTGCTGCCTTGGGACTGATGGGAGTTGGAGTCCAGGAACACCGCCAGAACCCTGAAACTCAAAGATCAATTCCCCTGAGCGGAAAGGAGGTGGCATTGAGTTGATGAGGGAAAAAGGGAGGTGAATGAAGGTTAAGAAGGGGGTGAAGAAATCCACGAAGCCACCTCCACTGGTGTTAACGCCTTGGAGCCTTTCCCATGCTCCCTTGGAGCATGTTTGCATTGCTGGTGCATGGAGGTGGAAAAGTTGGATCAGGCCCACTAGCCAGACACCATCTTTTACCTGCTCATCTGAATGCCTGAACAAAGCCTGGCAGCCCACAACTGCATACACATAGACTTTGGGAACTTAGGAAAAGCAGGCTAGTTTCACAGGGCTGCCAACTGCCCTAGTAGGCATTCACATGAGCGCATGACAGCCAGGAGTGGGATCCCACTGTGCCCTCCATTCTTCCCCATCCACATGGGGATGCATGTACAGATGGATGGAAGGACCTGCCCATTTCAAGTTCTAAGAGTGCCTTGGGTCATTTTACACTCAGCATCTTATGGCTCCTGCCTCTGAGTTTGCAGCAGCAATAAGTTCATAGGGACTTCTCAACGTCTAAACCAGGAAGGGGGAAACACTGTGAATCTGAGGGCCAAATTCCACCATGGGCAACCTTCAGGGGGCACATGCCAGTGGGGGGGTGGGGCCAGAGGCAAAAATTGGGTGGAGCGATGGACGTGCATTCAGCTACAAAAGTTTTTCTACACCCACCGACCTTTCCAACCTCCACCCAGGCAAGCAAGATGGAATATTGAAGTTCAATGACCATTAACCCAGGTAAAAGCATGCAGCAGGGGGAGCACAGTGGCGGAGCACTGATGTCACCGTGCCAAGGGTCCATTGATGGATGTTGCTGTCTCCATCTCGAAGATTCTGGGCTCTGATCTCAGTTCCATGTGTCTGCCATTCAATCTCTCTGACTAGCGGCTCAATGGTGCTGGAGCAAAGGACAAGGGACACAGGGACACAGGGCATTTGGTGACAGAGGCATAGTGGAAATCAAGTTAGAACTTTTGTCTGCCAGGAAGATGGATTTCAGGGGTCATCAACAGCTCAGGGTCAGGCAGTGCATTTTTTCCTTGGGGGACGCAGTGGTACACATACCCATAAGCACTTTGTGAATCTAAGTTTAGCCTCATTGAGGGGTAGTATTTCAAAAAGCACTGGGCTCAGGAAACCGCAGGACCTAATGTGGCCCTTAAGTCCCTCTGCCTGGCCCTTGGCCCTTGGGACTCACCCTGGACACATTCCTCCTTGGCCTCACTATGCACCTAATTTAATAATAATATAATAATAATAGGTATCTAAAGAATCACATAACGAAATATGTATTTTATCAAAGTAATTGATATAGAAATGAGCAAACCAGTGATATCTCAGGGAGCAGGCTAGCCCTAGGCACTGAGGTTTTACCCACAGCACCACATCATAGGAGCCTACAAAACATAAAACACTGTTGCTGTATGTAGGTTTTATTTTATTTGCTTTTTATCTTATATTTTTGGAAATGTACATCCAGTTTTTTTCCTTTAAATTTTTTGGGGTCCCCCAAGCTTCTTTAGCTTATATGTAAATCCGGCACTGGGAACAGCATGTGTAAAAGACATTCATGGATTAACTGCAAATATTTATATCATGCCTTTCCACACTTAATGCTCAGGACGGCTGACAACTGCATAAAGTCATATAACATGAATGTTGCAAGAAGGAAATAAGGATTTATTTTTTAAAAGGCAGCAAATGATAACTAAAAGCCAGTTGCAGCAGAGTCAAAACAGAATCAAACAAGCTAACCTCACAGGTAGAAGACTTGCCAGGAACTCAATGTTTGGTGGTTGGCTGAGAGGGTGCCATGGGAGGGAGTTCCCAAATCTGGGTACAACTCGCCAAAAAGGCTCTTTCTGGAGTCTAACAGAGATCTCTGTCAAGTTGCACAGGACTTTTCCACCTGAAAATGACAACACCTGGGAGTCAATCATGGGCGTAGCCAGGATTTTTGTTGGGGGGGGCAGGACTTTTGTTAGTGGGGGCAGAACCGATGTGCTTGGTCAGTTAGTTAAGTATTTCTATTGTTTTACTTGATGGGGGGGCCAGCTGCCCCCCTGTCCCTCCTTGGCTACGCCCATGGAGTCCATCACAAACTGGCAATTTCAAATTGTGTAATCAACAACCCACTATCCCCAAAAGAGCAGACTTTTTGTAATCAGGAAAGTGATGGGGAGACAGCCTGCAAAGTGTGGGCAGTAACACTTGCCTTGACACAACATTGTTTCACCTCTCCACAAACAAATGAGAATGAATGCTCATTCTGCAGCCAATGTTGTCATATCTTCCTGCAAGCAGATCTAGATGAATGCTCAAGAAACAGGTCTTCTGGTAGCAACCCATCCCCTAATTTGTTTAGTTTGCAAAACCAGGCAGAGGTTTTTTGGGTGGGTAAGAAACATGGACCGCTTACTAGCGGGAAGGTAAACGGTGTTTCCGTGTGCTGCGCTGGCTCGCCAGATGCAGCTTTGTCACGCTGGCCACGTGACCCGGAAGTGTCTCCGGACAGCGCTGGCCCCTGGCCTCTTAAGTGAGATGGGCGCACAACCCCAGAGTCTGTCAAGACTGGCCCGTACGGGCAGGGGTACCTTTACCATTACCTTTTAAGGAACATGGACTACACATATTTTATTTTATTTTTAATAATTTTTATTGAATGATTTTATGTTATAAAAAACAATACAGCCATACTACCACTAAATATAATTAAGAAATTGAAAAATTACATACATCAATATTTAGTTTATTTGTTATTTACTGTCTTATTTCCTCCCAAACATTGCATACAACAACACACATATGTGCAGACACCCACACACCCACACCTGCACACAAAATAATAATAATGAAAGTAAATATTTTTCCCCCTTTTATCTTCCAAAATCTTTTCTTCAACTTTGACTTCCTGTCAAGTCCCTTTGCATATATTTTATCTTACATTTGAATGTACAGAAAACAATAAACAGGTTTATTGTTTAAGGAACATGGACTACACATAAACTTGCGAAAAAGGAAGTCTCAAACCATGCTGGACTCCACTCCTGAAGTGGAGCTGGAGGTTCTGTTGCTGGGGAAAGAAGGCGTGAAGGCCCACTTGTCATTGACCGCTCCTTTAAAGGCCAGGAAGAGGGATCGGCGGCTGGTCTTTTTGTAGTCGGACCCGACAAAGACATACAGAATGGGATTGAGGCAGCTGTTGAGGCAGACCAGGCCCTCAGCCAGTGGGGTGCCAATATCTAGGGTGGTTTGCATTTGAAGGCTATCGTCTTCCAGTGTTTCGAGAATGGAGAAGAGGTGGTGGGGGAACCAACAGAAGAAGAAGGCCATGACCACTGCCACTATGATCTTGAAGGATCGTCCAAATTGGCCAAAGATCTTCCCCCTTAGCTTGATCATGATGGCGCAGTAGCAGGCCAGAATGATGCCGAAGGGGATTAGGAAGCCGAGCACAAATTCAGCAAGCACCATGAGACGGTGTGTCCTTAGGCTGCCCTCATCCTGCAAATGGAAGCTGTAGATGCAATGTATAGTGCCATCCATTAGCTCTTCTGTGTCGCGGAAGCTGAAGTACGGGATGCTGAGAGCCAAGGCTGCTACCCAGATGAACACAGCCACCAGGGAAGCAAGCTGGAGACTGCGGTGGTTCAAGGCCCAAACCGGGTGGACCACAGCAGCGTAGCGGTCGGCACTGATGGCTGTTAAGAAGAAGACGCTGGCAAACATGTTCAAGAGGGGAACCATGGTGTTGAGTTTGCACATCAGCCTCCCCAGAGTCCAGCGATAACCCAGAGACACGTAAGCTATCTCGGTGGAGAGGCAAAGGGCGAAGATGAAATCAGCCACAGCCAAGTTGAGATACCAGATGGTGGTAACCGTCTTCTTCATGTGGAAACCGGTGAGGTAGATAACAAGGCCGTTGCCCGTGGCCCCCAAGAGCAAGGTGATTGTGTAGATTGTCAAGGAAAATATTCCCATTGCTGGCAAAATGTGGGCATTATCAGAGCGAGGGTCTAGGAGACATTCTTCTGTCCAGTTGTAGTCAAACATGTCGCTGTTGGTGGGTGGTGGAAAGTCTGTGTCATTGTCAGGTTGGAAGAAGGGGAGAAGATCCATCCCTTCTCAGGTTCACTTACCACTTCTCTCTCTTTCTCTCTCTCTATTTGGCCTGAAACAAAACAAAATACCCACACAAATGCCATATCGGTATCACAGAACTGGAATGAATAGGAAGGGTGTGTGTGCAGATTTCAAACTGGTGTCAGATTTTCATGGAGAAATCCCGGTTCCCAAGACCATATTTTGAACCTGAGGTGTGAAACTTGACATCCGACTTAATTTCTGAGTTAAGTTCTGAGAACAGTTGGATGGGAGGTGGGGGAACATAGCAGAAATTTTCGGTACAGCGTCGTCCACAATATTATTCCTTTAAACCAGTGCTTCCCAAACTTGGTCTCCAGCTGTTTTGGGACTACAACTCCGATCATCCCTAGCTTGCAGGACCAGTGGTCAAGGATGATGGGAACTGTAGTCCAAAGAAAGAAAAGAAAAGCTGGAGACCCAAGTTTGGGAAACACTGATTTAAACTGATAGGTGGATAGTTGACAGTCTCATCCTCAAGAAACCTGGAGCCACAGGCACACAAGATCCCCGAGTCACACGCTTCCAGAAGATGTTGTGATGGCCATGGCTAGACAATTTCATGGAGGAGAAAACTATCAGTGGCTACTAGCCATGATTCCTATGTTCTCCCACAACCGTCATAGTAAGATGCCTTCATCCTTTGTCCTAAGGTCCAAGGACAGGTTACAGCAATAAAATGTTAAAAACAATGTTAAAAACAGTTTAAAGCAACTTACAATCACAGGTTGTTATTGTTATTTATTTCACACTTATAAATCAAAAGGGAGATTCACAGAGGCCCAGATGGCCTGGAACAATTCCATGTCATTTCTACAGGGACTTATAGAGGTCCCATCCAGACTAGTATACACTGACTGGCAACAGCTTTCTGGGATTTCAGACAAGGAATCTTTTCCAGTACTACCTGGAGAAGCCAGGGATTGAAGCTGGAACCTTCTGCATGATGAAGGCAGCATATTTCTGAATGCCAGTCACTGGGAATTGCACTCAGGCCCTGCATCCCGGCTTCCCATGGGCATCTGGTTTGTTCTTGTGACAAATTACTGGACTATCTGACCCATTTACTAGATTCTTATGTTAAATCTGGCCTGGGAAACCAGGCTTGGGCTTAGATCCAGCTACTACCCTCTGTTATGCATCCACATTTGGAGTACTGAGACACCTCCCATTGGCCTTTCCCTCCCTTCCCATAACCTTGGATCTCGTACCTTAGACATTGGGTGGTCTTTGTTACTGAACTGTTGGCTGTTCTCTCCAGCTTTCTGAAGTCTTCTTCGGCAGCCCTCTTCTCTTTTGCTCTCCCCTCCGTGCAAAATGCACCAAGTCCCCAACTGTCTTTCTTATCACGCTCATCACCGGCTGTCTCCTTCTCTGCCATCTTTCTGAAACATCTGCCACCACAATCAGGGCCATCAGTGTAGAGAGGAGGCCTCAGAGGCACGCAGACATGTTTTCTCTGGAGTGATGGTGTCAGGGTAGGACTTTGGAGGCAAGTGCCCACATAGGGGTGGGGGAGAAGTTGGATTCAGTTTGCATTTCTAAGCAAGCCTCCCTAATTTGCACTTTCTGAAAGAACCAAAGCCATCCTTTGAAATTCACATGCCTCCAAATTTTGCAACGCAGGGCTCCAGTCAAGTAATTTACCCCAAAACACATGTACTAGGTTAAAGCAAATATAGATAGCACATGCCAGTGAAAACAACATGAAAAAATTATTTTTTTTGGTGGGGTGTATAAAAGTGCATTTTAGAAGAAATTCACACTAAAATGCTGATGAATTTTCACAAGGTTTTTTAAAATAAAAAACATCACAGTGTGCATATAAACGCCCATATCGACAAAACTGCATTTTCATAAGTACTTTTTTAAAAATTCACAAACTGATATGGAAATGTGGAGGACTTGAACTTAAAGATTGGAAAAATGAGAAACCCATACTCACTCAGATACCACATTTTGATTGCCTGTCATAGAATCATAGTTGGAAGGGACCTCAAGGGTCATCTAGTCCAACCCCCTGAAATGCAGGAATATGCAGATGGCCCATATTGGGATCAAACCTTGGCATTATCAGCACCACACTCTAACCAACTGAGCTAACAAGTGCTTTCTCTGTCAGCAGGGAGCTAAATGAACCAATGATATAACCCAATATAAGGGAGCTTCCTATTCTTCTGTGTGATTGCAAATAACCGGCAAACTGTTGAGTGGCAAAAGAGGGCAAGAGAAAACAAGAACAAAAATAAACAGAGAGTCTTTTTCATTGTGGCTCTCCGTTTGCGTGTTGAGACCCCGAGACCACCCCCTCGTTGATGAATAAGACACAAGGACACAGATATTAGGTTAATGTTATTGGGCAAATTTAGGCCACAACTTTATTGGTTACAGAATGTGAGTGGTATTGGCTTAGGCACTGGAATTGACCTGACTATATCTGACTCCTGCCCATCATGCAGGGAGTCCAGTAAGGGTCAACCACTGGTAGGGGGAGTCTTGTTGATGCAAACCAACTCAAGCTCCCCCTGGGTTCCCGAAGGGGTCATGGCATGGCCCTAGCCCAGCCCCAGATTTCGGACAAGATCCACACCCCCGGATTCCTTTAACGGAATACCCTTAAGCTTGGAGGGGCAGGTGATGGCCACACCTCACCTCCCCCATCATAAGATCAAACCTAACCACCAAACCTTACACAGTTGTGATGATTGCTACGAGGTAGGCAAAAACCAAATGCCACATGCCAATTTGCCAAGTGGAAAAATTCCTACCAGGCCCTTCAACGGCGACCAACCGAGGTCCATAGCAAGGCCAAATTCGAAACCTGAAAATAGAGAGGGAGGGAGATTGAGGAAGTGAGCGAAGAGAAAGCTCTCCGGCTGTACGTCGATTGGAAACTTTGCTGTGTAAGAAGTGACCAAGAAATGCAATAAGAAAATAATAACGGAACTGCCAAATTTATGTTGATATCCATCAACCAACACTTTTGCCCCATTTTGAAGGCTGGGAAATGATATATAACAAATGGAAAAAGAGGTTTAAAATAATGTTTGTAAAAAAAACAAAACCCAGAAGCTTTCCTTTTGGGAATTATAGGGACATAACTACCCAAACTGTATAGAAATTTATTCATGTATGCGACTACAGCAGCAAGAATGTTACTTGCCCAAAAATGTAAAGAAGAAGTCCCAGCAAAAGAAGAATGGATACAAAAACTTATGGGATATGTAGAAATGGCAAAACTTACCGGAAAAATGAGAAATCAAGACAACAAACTTTTTATAAAAGAATGGAAATGGTTTATTGAATATTTACAAACAAACCGTAAACAGATTAGAACATTGGCAGGATTATTGTAATAACCTGCAGTTTCATAAGCGTATATATTGAAAGCAGATGAGTAAATGGGCATATTAAGTTAATTTGGATATGTAGAAAATATGTAAAAATAAATTTAAGGATCTGCAGAAAGAGGGGGAAGGAAGTCAAGTTTTGAAATGTTAAAAAGATTGTAAAATGATTGAAATGTATGAAAATGAAAATCATAAATAATTTTTTCTTTTAAAAAATGAAGGCTGTGGAAGTTTGCTGGGGGTGAGGGATGTGGCTGCATGCCTGCACAGCTGGAAGAGATTCCTTGGTACTGAATGATGGTTTTGTCGCATCTCTTCTCCTGTGGACCCTGAAAGTGGCGCATCTTCTTTCTGCCAGCAGCGGCATTTTGGGACACAGCTTGGTGCCTATCCATCTCACCATCTCATCAGCGCCTTCGTTCTCTCCAGCTGTTGAAACGGCACACCATGAGACGAGACCATTGCAATTTATTTTGGTTTCCTGTAGCTCTCGCATCCCAACCCCCAGCAACTCACAGATGAAAATAGGCACGCTTAAATAACAAACCTTCCTTGTTTGCACACTTCTTTGCAGACCCTCTGGCCCATTGCTTATGGCTGGAGGCTCTACCCTGTCTGCTTCACAGAGGGGCAAAATAAGTTGCCTTATACTGACTCAGACCATTGACACATCTGCTTTAGTACTGTCTAAACCACAGAGCCTAGGACTTGCCAATCAGAAGGTTGGTGGTTCAAATCCCCGCGATGGGGTGAGCTCCCGTTGCTCAGTCCCTGCTCCTGCCAACCTAGCAGTTCGAAAGCACGTCAAAATGCAAGTAGATAAATAGCTACCACTCCAGTGGGAAGGTAAACGGCATTTCTGTGTGCTGCTATGGTTCGCCAGAAGCGGCTTAGTCATGCTGGCCACATGACCTGGAAGCTGTACGCCGGCTCCCTCGGCCAATAAAGTGAGATGAGCACCGCAACCCCAGAGTCGGTCACGACTGGACTAATGGTCAGGGGTCCCTTTACCTTTACCTTACACTGGTACAGATACTGGCAGGGGCATTCCAGGGTTTCAGACCAGGGTCACTGGTGGAGGAACGGGGAGGTGGGGTGAGTGCACTACCCCCGGCACCATCGGGGAGGGGGGGGGGGTACCATCGCAGCTGCTCCCCGGATACACGCCAAACACCCCCTGCCCCAGGATGCAAACCACGCCCCCGCGTGCGGCGTGCCATGCCCCCAGGACACATGCCACGCCCCCGGGATGCGTGCCAGCTATGCCCCCGCCTGCTCTCCGGAGCATGCAGCTTCGCCACTGACTAGGGTCCCTGCCAGCTGTACCTGGAGATACTGGGGACTGAATCTGGGACATTCTGCATGCTGAACAGTTGCTCTAACACTCACCTTTACCACTAATGATTTAATCATTTACACTTGCCACACCGATTTCAAAACAATGGTGGCATGCATTCCTCGTCACTCTGGGCAAAACTGTTCAGAGACAGTCGCTGCACCATCTCACAGAACAATAGAACTGTATGACTAGGTGCAATGCAGGAATCACAAGGAAAGCACCCACAACAGAAGGCCAAGACTCAGCATTCAGACAAACGGCCCCCAGTTTTTCTCTTGCCTTCCTTTCATTAGCTGCTGAAATGGAGAGTACCCCTTGGGTCCCAGTGGATAACATCCATCCTTTTGCTTCTGCAAGTCTTAATTTCCCTGCAAATCCATCTGAAAGGTGCATGGATGCGGGGAGGCGAGGAGGATGAGGAGGGGGTTAGCTATGAGCCATCGCCTGCATCATTTGCATTCAGCTTCCAGAAGGGCTAAAAGCGGCAGGAGATGATTGCCAATGTGAGCACAATGGTCTCTGCAACTGAGAGGGAGCAAACGCTCTCGAGCCATTGTTCCCAGAAAAACGACGACGATGACAAAAGGAAGCCAGGCGTTCTGAGTGCTGCCTGCGAGGGCTTGGCAAAGATGCTGGCATGCCGAGGAGGTGGTGAGCTCATGTGAAATGATGGACCTGCCCTTGCTTAGATTAACAGTGGGAGCACGTAGCTGCTTGAATTCACAGTGCCGCTGGGTTCGAAAGCCGACAGATCAAAAGGAGGTCTCTGGGCCCTGAGGCTACTGCGTAGGCCTGGAACACCCTGGCGTACAAACTGTGTGGATCTCTTTGGTTTGCTGCCTGGTTTTCCACCAGTGACCATGTTGACCTGAAGTGGCTACTCCTTCTCACCCCTGGAAAAATCAATGTGGCCTTGTTGATTTGCAAGCAGAGTTTCCAAATGAGCCCTTGCCTCCTTTTTCTGTACAAAAAGCCCATAAGCATTCTGGGGAAAGCTGCCCTTTGCCATCACCACATGTTTTAGGGAAGGACCAGGTACCCTCGGAGGCAGCGGAAGTGTAGTGGTTAGAGTGACAGCCTAGGACCTGCTATTCAGTCTCTGACAGTGGAGGTGGAACATAGTCAACTTGGCCAGCAGCCACTGATAGTCCAGCAACATATGGAGGGCCAATGTTTCCTCAGCCCTGATGTAGCTTCACGTCATTTACTCTGACTGGCAGTAACTCTGAAAGCTCTTTTTGATCCCTCCTATCTGAGATCTTTTCGAGCAGCTGTAATGAGCAAAAGATCAGCTTCCTCTCGGATTCAAATTCCAAGGGACAATGAACACGGTGTTCTCTTCATCCTATCCCAATTACTCTCATCAAAACTTAAAATATATTTTTCAGTGCATTGGGCTTGAGATAGTTCCTAACTGCAGTGTGTGCATTTATTGTCACCTTGTGACATGCGGTTTAACGATGTGTAATGCATGTGGTCTCCCCTCCTCCTTCCAATTTTTGTCAGTATAGCTCTGTGTTAAGCAGGCAGAGTCTGGCAGTATGTATTATTTCTGTGTTTCATTAGGTTCCTTACCCATCCTTTACCGTTTGGGCCCCAGGGAGGGTTACAACAATAAAACATACAATTATACAGTGGTACCTTGGGTTAAGTACTTAATTCGTTCTGGAGGTCCG